TCTGTCCAACTGTAAATTATATCAAAATGAAATTGCTGATGAATTCCCTTGCATCCATTAAACTAACTATAAACCCTTTGTCTCTGTCTCCTCCAGGGAAAATGGTGCTGACAGCATATTGGACCTGGGTCTTCTGGAGGCGCCAGAGAAAGCACAAGTAAACTCAACATCTCTGTTTCCCCTCTATAGTATCCTAACATGTGGTTTCAGGTTATCAGGTTATCAGCTGGGTCTTACAAATCCAATAATCTGTATTTTAGATCCTAAAATGTCTTAAATTGGATTTTGACAGGTCTTAAAGATGTATGGATTAATGAAGTTAACGTATAAAGTGGCATTTTTAGTCTTAATTGTGTTTTGGGGAAAATTTGTATTGATCATGCTGGAACTACAAAACGAAACCGACATGGAATCATTACCGATTTTGTCCTTCATATCCTTTGTACTTTTTTTTTTGCCAGTATGGACATAAAAGTGCATTCACAATGCTCTTAAAAGGTCATAAGTTTAAACTGAAACCCTGTGTTAAGTATAATAGTAAAACTTGCCTTCTGAACAGCCAGTTTAGCCTCACTTAACAGTCCTCCCCTCCTCCCCGTTGTGTGCTTGTAGCAGCAGGAAAACCGTAAGCGTCATGGCTCAACCCGCAGCGTGGTTGACATGGAGCTGGACGACCCAGATGACGGGGACGACAACGCTCCTCTCTTTTACCAGCCTGGCAAACGAGGCTTCTATTCCCCTCGGCCCGGCAAGAATACAGAGGCCAGACTGAACTGCTTCCGTAACATTGGCAGGTAATGAATTGTCGTCTTGTTTGGTCGCACAGTGAAGAGAATTATACTTTATAATAGTTTGTTAGGATAGAAACTGGAGTTTACCAAAATCTTCAGAAGAGAAATGAGTCACATCTTTTAACAAAGTAGGAAGCAATACATTTAATGTTATTTTCTTCGCAGAATATTGGGGTTATGTCTGCTTCAGAATGAACTCTGTCCAATCACGTTGAACAGACATGTCATCAAAGTGCTGCTCGGGAGGAAGGTAGGAGAAAATATGCTAATGATGTATTCTGACACCTACATTGAGACCCTGCCACATCCCGTTTTTGCTGATCAGAATGAAGTTACTAAATCTTTGTATCATCTTTGTTACTGCAGGTGAACTGGCATGATTTTGCATTCTTTGACCCGGTCATGTATGAGAGCCTGCGGCAACTGATCCGCCATTCTCAGGCTGGTGAAGCAGATGCAGTGTTTGCTGCCATGGACCTGGCCTTTGCTATTGACCTCTGCAAAGAGGAAGGGGCCGGACAGGTAAAAGACTACACAGTCATTGTGTCAGTGGAGATAATAACACTGGATGCTAACAGATGCTTGCTTATCTTGTGTTGTTTAGACTAAAAATAGCACTACATCTTTATTAAAAAGAAAAGGGGTGCAATAACCAGGGCTTGTTGCTAGAGGCATTGGTGGAGGAGCAATCATTTGCAGGAATTTCACACAAATAAATGCACCCACAAAAAAACCTCAGCACATCTCAAGGAACCTTAACCTGTCCTCATTCAGTGTATCCTCATCCAAAATATGAATATCTTTAATCAGCTGTTTGACATGTTGTTCTGTTATATACATTACATTAGTTATATACATTACTTGCATCATAGCTTGAGGTTCAGCTTTTGAAAGCAGAATCTGAATACTCTCAAACCCATAGTGCAAAGATGCATGACAAAGATGTACTCTGGAATATGTTTATGCTGTAAACAAAGTGTTTGTTAATGGCCTTGATCTCCTTGGTTCAGGTGGAGCTTTTGTCTGGTGGGGTCAACATGCCAGTAACTCCCCTCAACGTGTATGAGTACGTGAGGAAGTACGCCGAGCACAGAATGCTGGTGGTGGCAGAGCAGCCTCTTCATGTAAGTCAACACTTTTAAAAAATGTATTCTGAAATATTCAGCATTTTATCAAAGCTTATCTCAAAATGTAAGTAGTAAATGTAAGTTCTCACACCAAGTATGACGTGTGTCTGTCCTTCCAAAGGCAATGAGGAAGGGTTTGCTGGATGTACTCCCTAAGAACGCCCTGGAGGACCTGACGGCCGAGGACTTCAGGCTGCTGGTCAACGGCTGTGGAGAAGTCAATGTCCAGATGCTCATTAGCTTCACTTCCTTCAACGATGAATCTGGTATGTTTTTCTGACTGGATCCTCTCTGCTCTGTGTATGATTCTGTCTGTTTTCCTGTCTTATCTGTTTCCTGCATTCATTCAGAATGGCATTTTTGCTGTAACATAGTAAGCAAAGACTTGTACTTCCTCCAACAGGGGAAAATGCAGACAAACTCTTGCAGTTTAAACGCTGGTTTTGGTCCATAGTGGAGAAGATGAGCATGACTGAGAGGCAAGATCTGGTAAGTCTCATCATAATTATCACCAGGGCTCCCAGCAATTCAGTGCTTAGCATTGACGATAATTACATGAGGTAAATCAGAGGTTTTCAGACTTTTTGTCAACGCACCATTTGGGTACCACTGAGGTACATAACTTGAGGCTCAGAAAACATCCGTCAGGTCCCCATGCTGAGGATCGATCTGAACAAAGGGTTTTGGCTAGCACAGTCAGTCTTAATCCCTTCTTAAAACACTTTTTTGTTGGACAATTAGAATGTTTTTTTCTTTATTGCACGTCTTTCATTTTTAGCCCTGCTTGCAGAAGTACAAGGCTAAAATCGTGCCTTTGTCACATGTTGGTTAGTGAGTCAGTTCTAACTGCATCAGTCCGGTTTGTGGGCTTGAGGGGCCAGTAGCAGGGCTTTAAGACTTTTACCCTTTTAAGTCTAGGATTGTTATGCTGGCAACAGGTTATTGCACAATGGCCTTACACAGGACTTGGACTACACTCTGTAATGGTTGTACCTGCTGTAGTTGTGCATTTAAAATGTAAGAATAAGACCAATACAGGAGCAGTCAGATATTGTTCAGTAAAGTTCAGCTCTCTTTTTCTCAGTCTTTCCTCTGCTTGTTCTGTTTGTCTTCTTTGCCCTTGGTATCACCTACATATATTGTGTGAGTGGTAAAGAATAGGGATATGAATTAACTGAAACGCTGTGCTACAACCTTATTTTTATGTATGTGCCAGTAAAACCTATTCCAAAAATCCCTTTAAGAAGTATCGGAGCAGGAGCAACAGCCTTGTACAGAGCCACAGCATTGTTTAAATCCCATTTCTGTTTTGATTTAAGGGCAACTGAAGTGGCAGTTATATCCTGTGGAAACGAGCCTTAAGTCTCTAATTTCATTGTTAGACATAAAGTGATACTCGTAACCAGCACAACAAACGCCAAGGAGGAAGAACGTATTCAATTATATCATTTGTTCAAGGCCTCTCTCTCATGTTGCCTATTTTTTTTTTTTTAACTCTTTATCCCAGAACACAAACACTGTAACTGTTGGAATAGTTTTATTTTACCAAGACAAAATACAGGGGTCATTAGATGGAAATGTGAGTAATGATTTTCCTTGTCCCTCAGGTGTACTTCTGGACTTCCAGCCCTTCTTTGCCAGCCAGCGAAGAGGGCTTCCAGCCGATGCCCTCCATCACCATCCGGCCTCCCGACGACCAGCACCTCCCCACCGCCAATACCTGCATCTCACGTCTTTACGTGCCACTCTATTCTTCAAAACAAATACTCAAACAGAAACTCCTGCTAGCCATTAAGACCAAGAATTTTGGTTTTGTGTAGAGGTTCGACAGAAAAGAGTTTAAAAAAAGGAAAAAAATAAAAACATGTTTACTGTTGTGTAATATTTACCTAGCTCCATTTTTGTAGATTTATTTTTTGTCTATACAATTTTATGAAATTCGACATACTGTCGCTATCTCCCCAGGCGGTAATATTTGTTTGTGTTGTGAACACAAACAGCTTGTTATTTTTATTTCAATTTTTATTGTTTTTTTCTTTTTGTGTTAATGAAGAAGAGGTATACAGTCCAGAACATTCCTGCATTGGCACTGTAAAATATAAAGCCCACAGCCCTGCTCTATTGGCTTAAACCTTTGCTTCCCAGGAATGTGGTTTGACAGAAGGCTGTCTGCCGAAACCCAGCCAAAGATGACAGCAGTAGAAGTATTTAAAAGAAGAAAAGAAGACACACTGTGATTATAAGTTTTTTCCTTCCCTAGAAAAGTACTATCACTGACAGTTCACTGCTGCCTTTGTGGAAAGTCCTCTTTTTCTTGTACAGGGGGAGTAGGGAATTTCAAAATAAACTTGGATGCAAATAAGTTGTCCGCTCGTGATTTTGTTTGTATTTTTCAGTGTTTTACAGCAGTAATTAAAGTTATATTGGTGTGAGAGGAGGCTCTGCTTACCTGTGACACAGTTTTGACCTGCTACACATCTGATAGGGCTATTTACTTTTTTTGTTGTTGCGTTGTCTAAATAAAACAATACAAAGATAAATCTGCAACTAATATAATTTGACAGAATACCTCAGAAACCATCACGTTTTTGTGGGACTTACATTTTTTGAACGGAGTTTTTTGGCCAATCAGTATGGGATACAGTAGTCCCGCCCATTTCATTGGAGCGTTGCCTTCGAATGGCTTTGTGAAAAAAGGAATTTTGTGAACCCAATTAAGTTACCTGGGAAAGTCACATTATGACACCCGGACATGTTATTTATGGGGCACGTAATACATAACTTACTTAAAAAAAGAACAAAGAGGCTGTCGAAAACTGTTAGCAAATATGATATAACAAAAGTTGCCAAAAAACAAACTATCTGAATGTAATTCCTTGATCATAATCCTCTTCAGTCTGCCACTTAAACACATAGTAAATATGTTAATATATCTACAATGCTTTAGTTTAAATGTACTTTTGGGGGGCATTTTTCACAAGCTGCTCCATTAAACGGTTCCGATTCACAAAGTGGAGACTCCAGTTTACAAGCAACAGTGAATGCAGCACGTCTCCTCCAGTCAGAACGGAGCCATATGAGGTGAACCTGCTCCACTGGCGGCCACAGTGGACGCGTTGTGGTGGTCAGCCAGCGGTGCTGTAGTGTCCTACGATGATAGCAGCTAGCTTCATGGCTAGTTAGCTAACCTAGAGTGTCAGCGCAGACTTTACAAGATTTAGCTGGCTGTCTGTCTGGCTGGCTAGGCCGATGTTGCTGGCGGCGGAGGGGATGAATTTAATGTCTTCCATCATGTCCAAGTCGTTGCGTTATTTTTAGCTAGCACTGCAGGCTAGCGCGGCTAATAGCGGCGAGCAAAGCGTGACTAATCGGTCTGTAGTTTGATAAACAATAGGGATGGAGCAGTGGCAGGACGCGGCCTCTCAGCAGCTCAAGCTGCTTACACACCGTCTCAATGAACTGCTGTCCAAAGGCCTGGGACTGCTGCGGTCCGAGCTCGGCGTGGATTTGGGACTGAAGCCGGAGCTTATTCCGCCATGGGTGATCCTCTTAGCGGCATGTACCGGGCTGGTGCTGATGGTCGCTCTGTGGGCCTCAACCTGCCGGGCTGTCTTCAAGAAGCGACCCGCTATAAGCCCTGTGGACGACGGGATTGAAGTGAAGCGGGGTGTCAGTAAACCTGTCAAATCAGAGGAACCGAAGAAAAAGAAGAAGAAGGCAGAAAAGGCACGTAGTAAAAAAAAAATGAGCCTGTCTACTCCCTTTCCTAACTCTGTAGCCTTTCTGTTAGCAATGCTAGCTGTCAAGCTAGCACCAAAGTGACAGTTGAATCTCATGTCATTGCTAAAATCCTAGCTAGCTTCAGGCTAGTGTCCGAGCTGTCCGTGATAGCTTTGGGCGGTGTTAATTATTGATTGCTTGACAGGGACATTGGTGAGAATTATCATGGCCGTCTACATTTATTTCTCCACATGTGCCTTCTAGAAAGCTCAGTCAAACGGGAGAGCTGTTGCTGAACCACAGGAAGAAGCCATAGTGTCGGAAGAGATAGTGCCACATCACCAGCCGCCCCCACCAGAAGTCAAGGCTGAAAAGGTTGCAGAGGTAATTTGCTGAGCTGTACCAAAGATACATGACAAAACACACACACTCCAGAACATGATGTGAACATCTTGGATTTGTCCAGTGTGATTGATGCACATGTTTATATAAATGTTTGCACTTGGTTACTACTGCTTGTAAGTCTCTTAATTAGCTTTTGGTTCCTCTTCAATGAGAAGCAGTTGAGAAAACACCACGTTTTCTTGCTGTCACCCTGCAATGATGCAACCAGACCAGCTGCCAGGGTTAGGTTACAGTTTTTAACTTGCAGTTGCAGCAAAATCCTGGAGGATGGCTCCTGGCTGTAGGACAGTACAAGGGGGCTGCCTTTCATCTAATGCCACCTTCTGAATACCACGAAATAACAGAAACAGGTCCTAAGGGTGCTGGAGTCAGAAGCTGTCATTCTGCATGCACCAATAGATGGAAATAGTGCTTACAAAAAGGGCTTGTAACAGATTTAGGGAGTCTTGGACAGTGGATGTAGTTTCACTTATAAATAGACGTGGCTTGAGCATGCTGATTTGATCGAGTGTCCGTGGTTCAGTCAGCATGCCAGGTTGCTGTTCCTGGACGTGAAATCATATGTGCTGCATAGTATCTCCACTGCAGCCCTTCCCTTGTTTCTTTGAACCCATTCTCACCATCCCAGATTGAATTATTTTCAGTTTTTTGTCACTGGCTTTTTTTTCTACTTCATGCCCACTATTTCTCTTCCTCCAGGTAAAGAAGTCAAAGAAGAAGGCCAAACAGGCTGTAAAGGAGACCAAGACAGTGAGTGCAGATGGCAAAGAACCAGAAGAAGGTGAAATATAATGAATAATATAATTACTATTTTTTTGGTTCAAAGTGATGTCTGGTTATTTGAGGCCTGTTTTTGTTTGTATTATTTATTTATTTTTCTTATGAAGCCACCATTTTCAGTAACCAGGCCATTGCAGCACACTGGGAATGACTAACTTCTGTGCTGTTTATTTAATGAATTTGAATGTGGCCTTGGTTGAATGAATGAAAGACTCAGACTTTCTCTGAAAAATATAATTGGCGTGTATCTGAACAGTCTCTACATCTATTCCTTTATCCTGCTTAATCCATACCATGTTTCCTCACTAATCCCATAATGAACCCTTGCCGTTTTTTTCAACTAATTCCGAACTCCTCTCAATGTTACTTTTCAGGCACATGGGAGACCAAGGTCAGCAACAAGGAGAAGCGTGAGCAACGCAAGAAGGACAAGAGTTCCAGCGATGGCTCAGCCAGTCCTGGAGGAGGGGACACACCCGTGAGCACCCCCCCAGAGCAGAACAAGGTCTCTGCAGCCCCTGCACCTCCTGGCCAAAAGAAGAAAAAAGGTGGCGTAACTCTTAAAGCCCATGTATATTTAATTTGGTTGTGATTTTGCTTCTTTTAAAAAGTGTTTCAAAATTGAGATGAGGCTAGGAGTTTTGCAACAGTGTTTTTTTACTTGTTCACACTGACACAGAGCACTAACCCTCCAGGCCATCTTGGATAAACAGCCTAATTTGGCACCAAGAGAGAGATATTTCTGTCTGTTGTTCTGTATAGGCTGTTGTTGCGTTGGGTTGGTCTCTTGTTGACAGGGTGGACTATAAATAGAGGCTTTAGAGGAATTGAATTGAGTCTCGAGTGAGTTTTCCCTGAAGTGTGGGAGCTCAAGTGTTAGTGTGGACTCCCTTCACTAATAGGCTTTCATGGAGGGTGTGCTTGACACATATTGACCTTTTTTTACCTTTTATCCCCCCTTTCTTTTCAGGAGAATCCACAAAAGTGAAGGCAGAGAAGGTTGAGGCTGTTGTACCTCAAGGTAATTATCAGCAGAAAATGCTTCACCCATTGACTGATTATTACCAGTTCAGAAAGACACCCCAAGCACTGATCTCTCGCCTGTGCATAAGATCACATGGCTCACTGGGAACCCCTGTATTAGATGTGTCTCCAACCTGATCTGCATTTATTCTGGCTGAGTATCAAGTGTTTCTCTCTTGGTATTAGTTAACAACAGCGAGGTTGCTGCCGGTGTGACTGACATGCCTGTAAAGGTTCCTGCTCGCAGCGTCGCTCCAAAGATGGGCCCCTGGTCAATGGACAGGAGAGAACCACTTGATGGTAAAAATGTTTTATCTCTACTATTTAACTGCTGGGTTGTTGAACCATACATGTGTTGGTGTAATGCTTCAAAGCTTTATAGCATTTCATGAAGCAGTTAATGCCTGCCAGCCTGTGTAATATCTGCAGTGTCAGAGGTAGTGATGCACCGATTGATAAGCTGGATTGGTATTGATGCTGATGCCAACATTATTAAAGGGATCAGTTGCCTGTGGATGTGAGCGATCCACATTAAAGTCTGTTTCTTTATCACAGTTGTAGTAAAACTGTCAGAAGTCTTTCTGAAAAGCATTGTAAAACAATTTATCTACTTATCTGAGGTTTAAAGTTCATTCGTGACCTTTAGAAACAGCAGTTGAGAGAACAATCTCAGCACAAGGCTCATTTAGGAGCTATTCTTGAGCTTTTGATCATATCACTTGATCTTCATCTCCAAAATCGAAGACAGCGGGAGCGAAAGCTTCAGAAAAGCTGCTAAATGGACCAAGTGGGGAGACAGATATCTACTTAAATTGCAGAAGTGAGGTAGAGTATAATGGCAGCCTCATGTTACACTGCACATAAAGAATGAGTCAAATCAGTTCGGCACAAAAAGCTACACAGATTGTAAAGAGAAAAAAGAAGTCTTCTGTTTTGGTAGCAGAATCAGTAACTGGGGAGAAAATGAGTGGTGAGTCATTATTTAGAGGTTTTCTTTAAGTAAATTATGTTAAATTCAAATTAGCTTTTGAAGAACTCAGACTATTAGAGCTGCAACAATTACTGGATTATTTCAGTTGTTCTCAAACTTTTTTTACAATAAGGTACACCTTTGAAATATTTTTGCAGCCAAGTACCCCCTGATCAGCAAAAAACATTTTTGTTCGATTAAAAAGAAATCCTGTATAAAGAGGTACAATGCAGCACATCCTTGTGACTGAAAAACACAAATGTTTAGAATCATTAAATTCATGGCAAACTATTTATTTGTCATCATGCAGTGACTCTAAGACCAGCACTGTCTTTTCAGTTGGACTTTTTAATAACACAGGCGTATGCTTCGCTGAGGATCTTTGTCATTCTCTGGCAGTAAGGCTGCTGCTTTTTCCAGACGTTTATTGCAGTTGACATTTTACAGCAATTAATAATTGGATTAAGAAATAGGAATATTGAATTTAAGATTTGGTACATCAAACATAATTTCTTTTATTGGACTTTTATTGGATTATTATGTTAGGAATTATGGATGACTTATATTGTTTAAATTAAAACTAAAAAAGAAATAGAAAACCTGTAACACTCCAAAGTACCCATAATGGTTCATACCCCAGTTTGAGAAACACTGGATTAGTTATTTAATAGAAAATGAATCTGCAAATATATTAGTAACCAAATAACACTTTCTTTTTAGTATCGGTTCCTGCTTCAGCAGGATAATCAACTGACCGTCGGTTTGGACTAATAAAACTGGCTTTCACAATATCAGATTTTCACTTCACGATTATTGTGGCCAAATGAATCACTATAAGATTTATTATCGCAATATCTATTGAAAATTGAAAAAATAAATTAAGTGACATTTTATAGATTAAACTATTAATCGAGAAAATAATCATCAGATTGATCAATAATGAAAATAATGGTTAGTTGCAGCCCTATACATAACAAAAAAAGCAGTTTATTCATTCTTTGGTGGTTAGTCATTCTGCCCTGACATTAAGCAATGTTTATAGATGACACAATGAACCGTGAACCTTCACCCATCACACCACCTCTGCAGGACTGCTTTAACTGTTGAGACTTTGTGTCTGATACTGCGTTTGATTCTTGAATAGTATGTGAATGTTAGAAGAAATGCGAGTTTTAGCTGCTAAGATTTAGAAATTAAAATGTTCCAAAGTTTTCAGGCGATCATTTGCATAAAGTTAGCAGAGAGCTACAGGAATTTCTACTCAAGGTCAACATGTAG